GGAAGCCGGGGTCCCCTGCTCTCCGCGCGCCCGTCGACCCCGCGTCAGGCCCGTTTCCTTCCCCTACCTCGGGCCGCCGGAGGGGCCGAACTGGGGCCCCAAGCAGCGGAGTGCCGGGCTCTAGGATATCGTCCTCCTCCTCCCCGCAGTCCTCCGAGGAGAGCGAGTGGCCAGAGCGATACTAATTTCTCCGAGGGCGAGCTGAGGTTGGCTGTGAGGAAGCACAGACCGGAAATCGTGGTTGTCATAGCTACAGAGGTGTCCAGCCTCTTCCCCGCCCCCACAAGCAGTTGATTTGGGAGAGGACCCGACCGGAAATCGTTGTTTCCATGGTAACCTCTGAGCGGGTTGCCTGGGACATGACCCCGTTTTGGTCTCTCAGTCTCTACTGTAGCGTCATTCCTAACGCAGATCTAGCCGACTCTGGACTGTCTCCTGCCATGATTCCCGGGAAGTACCGCTCCGTTTCTGGCCGCGCAGCGAACAACGTAGGTTGGGTCTCCTCCTTTCCCTTTCTTTCCTTTCGTGTCGTCCTTTCTGTCTGGCGGCTTTGTCGTAGGTGATGTATCGTTGGGACCAGATCTGCTGAGTCTACTTAAGCTATTGTCTGGCCGAGGCTGGAGGTGCGGAGGCTGGCCCGAGGCACTTGGCGGGTATTAGTGTTGTGATGGGTATTCAGGCTTGTCCCAGAGCTGGGCTTCCCTGAGGTGGAGCTGATCTGCTGTGAAAGCCTAAGGATCACTTAAATTCCTTTAACTAGTCAATTCCTTTTTTTTTTTTAAAGAAGAAAAGAATTTATTGTTAATACATACTCCCACCTCCTTCACCTGTTCCACTGATATACTTACTTAGGCCTGAAATAGCAAGTATCAAAATCCTGAGGTTCTAAGCAGAGGGTTAAATTGCTGCAGACATTTTGGAAAATAAATCACAGTGAAACCTTTAATTCTTAGTTGTGATTTTATTGTTTTGAGCAAATCCTCAGACCGTGATCATATAGCAGAAACAAAGAGCAAGCATTCTGTTTGTTATATCTTTATTTGTACTATTTTGGGGAGGAATGTGTGTGTGTAAGTAACGAACATATTTTATGGTTTAATTCTTACATTGCAGGTGAACTGTGGGCTTCATCTGGTTGTTCAAACCTCATCTCTTCCTGAAAAAAACAAAGTAAGAAATAGCATGATTTAAAGAGTAGAGTCAGAACTGGAAATTTTAAGTATATTTATTTTAGTTTCCAATCTAAACCTAATTTTTTTCCCTGCCTACATAAAGCCAAAAAACAAAAACAAAAAACCGAAAAACACCTCTTTTAAAAAAGCTCGATCTTATTTCACCGATTGCAAGAG